TTTGTCGTGGGAAAAAAAAAAATAGTTGATTCTAATCCAATAATAATTGCAGTGAACTATGCCTGATCTTGCTGTTTGTCGTCATCCCCCTCATCTGCACGAGCATTCATGGATGCCAACAAAATAATAGAAAAAAATGGTCGCCAGCAAGGATTTCTTTTCCACGTTAAACACATGAGAAAGTGACACGACAAATCCACAAAGATCGTTCTTTTTTCCACTTTGCAACCGATAGACTTCACCTCTCTCGTCCCTAATCCATTCCAAAGGCCTTCAACTCAACTCCCAACTTCCATAAAATCAAAACGAACACTATTTTGATTCTTAAGTAACAATCAAGAATCACCCAATTTGATCTGGGCTTTTCTTGAATTTTGATTTGGTTGGATTAAAAAAAAAAAAAAAGATGAGTTTCAGAGAGGAGGGAGAAAATGAGAGGTCGGATCTGAGGAAGCCATTTTTGCACACTGGCAGTTGGTACCGAATGGGCATGGGCTCGAGGCAATCTAGTTTGATGGGTTCGTCTCAAGCTATTAGGGATAGCTCAGTCTCAGTCCTAGCTTGTGTTTTGATTGTGGCTTTGGGTCCAATTCAGTTTGGCTTCACTGTAAGGTTTTAGACCTTTGCTTGTGTTTTTTATTTCAACCATTTCCCTTGAATTGTTTGATTGAATAGTTGGAGTGATTCTGATTTGTGCTTGGTTTGTAGTACTTGTAAGGTTCCTTTTTGGTGGGATGATTGTGAAATACTTGTAGAATTGACAGTAAAGAATTTATTCATCTTTTTTCTTCTGTTTTTTGGTGGGATAAGTTTGTGGTTCCTGATGTTGGTCCTGGGTTAGTTCTGAATTTTAGAGTTTCCATTTTTATTGGCTAAATAGTAGCTAACGAGAATCCATTTGGAATCGAGCTGGGGAATCTGAATCAGAATTTATCTGCAAAAAAGTGAGTACGTTGTGCGAATTCCAATTCTGCAGAATAGTTGTGCAATATGGTTTGAAGGTTTAGTAGGCTTATTAGCTTAGAATTTTAGTATGTCAACATCCTTGGATTTTCATGGATTTTTTGTTTTAGGTTTTTCGGAGATAATGAAAAACACAACTTTAGCTTTTTTGGGGTTGTGGGATAGTTTGATATCGTAGTGTACTACCAAAATATTGGATGTTTGAACTTGTGGATGTGAATGCCATTAGAAAACAAAGATAGAAGCAGAAGTAGGCATGTGCACCTAAAAGTTAAGACGCAATACTGAATGGAACAGTGCTGGACTCTGCGGTGTTTAAGACTATGTTTGACTCATGCTCAAGTTTTCCATTGTTCTTTGTGATTGTGGCTTGTCGCTTTAGCTACAAATGGGACTACCACAAAAACTAGTACTCCTTAAATCTGAAGAGAAAGTTATTATTCTATAAAACTGTCACCATTACTGATGCATCAATCACCTGCCGTGAATGTTGGTGTATTTAGAGTATTTCTGCTATCCCCAATGAGTATATATGCGTAGTCAATATAGGCTAAAATTCACAAATGTTGGGTAAATTATATTCATAGCCTGTTCTTTTTTTTGCATAAAGTGCGGATATTCTTCACCAACGCAATCTGCCATCACCAACGACCTCAAGCTTACAGTCTCACAGGTCAGTGGCGCCAACATTTTTCCTTTCGCTTGATAATTGTTTATTATATCTAATGGTAACAATACTGTGGCAGTTCTCTGTATTTGGTTCTTTGTCGAATGTGGGAGCTATGGTTGGGGCAATAGCTAGTGGTCAGATTGCCGAGTACATAGGTCGAAAGGGGGTACGGTTTCTAATAACGCGTGTTTCATTTTTTTTCTTTAGTTTTATTTAGTTGTCATGGTCCTGATTTAATTTTTTAACTTGCAGTCACTAATGATTGCCGCCATTCCTAATATCATCGGTTGGCTTTGCATATCATTTGCGAAGGTGAGTTTTGGAACACTTTTGTTAGCACACGATTTATTTATGAACAGCGTCTTATTTCTTCTAATTTCCTTTTTTTTTTCCTCTTCTTTCTTCAATGTTAAATTAGGACACTTCATTCCTTTACATGGGAAGGTTGCTGGAAGGATTTGGTGTGGGTATAATCTCTTACACGGTAAATGCAGTGCTTTTGTCTGAATTTTCTGAAAGTTATATCTATTATATAGTCCTGTTAAACTTATTAATTGGATTCATCTTCTCTAACCAACGTAGGTGCCTGTATACATAGCCGAGATAGCGCCACAAAATCTAAGGGGTGGACTGGGCTCAGTCAACCAGGTTTTTTTGTGTAACTAGTTTATATGTTCCTTTAAAGTAGAATGGTACTGAAATTTTACTTTCTCCTATGATTTTAGCTCTCTGTGACTATCGGGATCATGCTATCTTATCTTCTGGGACTTTTTGTTGATTGGAGATTGCTGGCAGTTCTTGGTAATTCTCATACAGAGAATTTTTAGAGATGTATTTTAGTTAGTTATGTTAAATATGAATAATGCAGTAATGCACTACTTTATTTTCCATGGAAATTTTGGCATGGTGTATGAATTTTCACCTTTTGATGGTGTTATAGTTATATCTCACTACAAATTGACTCCTATTCATTTTTCTTACAGGAATATTACCTTGTTTGATACTGATACCAGGACTCTTCTTCATCCCAGAATCTCCCAGGTGGCTGGTGAGGCTACAAAGATATCTTTTTATACTTTGGCCTTCTACCTGAGCCCGCAGTTTTCTTGTTACGAATGCTAGCTTTATTCATCCTATGAAAATAATTAGGCAAAAATGGGGATGACTGAAGACTTTGAAGCGTCTCTTCAAGTTCTTCGGGGTTTTGAGACTGATATTACCCTCGAAGTAAATGAAATTAAGGTATTATTAACTGATCTTTAGAAATGGCATACAGATATTATTTCTTTTTATTTTGACTTCATTGTTATTGTCGTTGAGTTGATTCATGAATTATATATGCCAACATCTCGTTCATCGATACTATAGACCATCCTTCAGCAGTGCCCAAACTCACATTTTACGAGCAAAAACTTTTGTTTTACAGAGATCTGTGGCCTCAACAAGCCGAAGAACGGCAATCCGGTTCGCGGATTTCAAATCGAGAAGATATTGGCTACCACTAATGGTGCATCATTTATCTAACTTACTTCTAGTTAATGTCGCAATGGTACTTTTCAACTTGCCGAAATTTACATGTTTCTTTTTTTGGTAATCTTTTAATCATGCAGATTGGAATTGGGCTACTTATTATGCAACAGCTATCTGGGATTAATGGCGTTATTTTTTATTCCAACAATATATTCGAATCTGCTGGTGGGTAGAACTGATGGCCTTTTCTTGAAACAGGGGATAATTCTCTACATTCTACATAAGAAATTACAGACCCACATAACCAAAATGTGGTTTAGCCTAATTATTACCGAGAGTCCAATTTATCTTTCAAGACAACAAATACCCCTGCAAGTTATTATTACTATTCAACAAAATATGCCCCAATGCAATCTAGAAGCCACCAGTGCGAAGGTTTATTTTAATTAAGGAAGATGGATTTTTATTTCTCAAAACTTGAGAATATATTTGCAAATAACCAGTTATTTTCGGTTTAGTATTAAATTCATCTACATTGATGTATTGAATGAACAGGGATCACGTCAAGTCATGCTGCAACAGTAGGAGTTGGCACCATTCAGGTTAAAACCAGTAAAAAGAAATGCTAGTTTGTGGCTTTTTGAACTTATTTCAACTAACATGTATTGTTCGCAATTCTTATTTGTTCTAAATTTTCAAATGTGTTAACATGTTTTCCTTCAGGTCATTGCTACTGCAGTAGCTACATGGTTGGTAGACAAAACGGGGCGCAGGATTCTATTGATCGTGAGTTAAAGGAAAAATATATCTTACTTTTTAAGTGTAGAAGCTTACCGATTGACCTAATAAATATGAGATATTATTTTCAGGTTTCTTCTTCGGGAATGGCTGTTAGTCTCTTACTAGTTGCAGTGTCATTCTTTGCAAAGGTATTATTACTCTTATGATTAATTTATCTTCGGACGAGATAACAATTAGAGATGTAGCAGTTGAACTTAATGGATAACTACAAAAACTACCCAAAGAATTAACATCACCTACAAGAAAAACCTAGTATTCTTATTAAGTGACAAATGATTTCTCGACAGTGCTAATTTTGAAAAGAAATACTTTTGGGCTATTGAAAATGTGAAAAAAGATAATTGAATTTTGTTTTTGCAAGTAATTTAGGCAAAGGTAGTTTAGAAACCCCCAAAAATACATCTATGACTAGAAGAACTTTTTTTGTCTTGGTCCTAATTCAACACTAAACAAGCCCGAACTAATTGAATATTTGTATCAGAAAGTATATATTCGATCTCCCCAAAGAAAAAACGACAACCTTCCTGCAAGAGATCTTTTCTTAACATCAAAGGTGGTGGGACTAGATAGAAATGATGCTGTCCTTTTTTATTCTTGTGTAATTGTTTTAAGGGTTTCGTGGCCGAGGAATCTAAGCTATTTGGCATCTTGGGAATCCTTTCTGTTGTAGGGGTGGTGGTACGTCTTTTTACAGTTTACACTTGCAATAACTTTCTTAGTGTTGTTCGACTGACTTTTTCTGTTTGTAGTTGATGATTGTCTTTTTTTCACTTGGGATGGGGCCCATCCCATGGCTCATAATGTCTGAGGTTCGTTTTCTCCCCCACCATGTAGTTAGTATGAAATAGTCACTATCTTCGAAAATTGCATATCACCCCCTTCACATTGGAGTTTTTTTGTCATTAGACCAATTTACAGACACTCAAATATTTCCAGATTAGCTTGTGTTTTTTTTTTTTACGTTTTACACTCAAATAAATTCTGCATACTTGGTATTTTATGTATACTTTACAGATACTCCCGATTAAGATCAAGGGGCTGGCTGGAAGTGTTGCGACTTTATTCAACTGGTCCTGCTCCTGGGTTATTACTATGACTGCACCATTGCTACTCACTTGGAGCAGTGGAGGTTTGTTAAAAAAAAAAAAAAAAAA